CAAATCTTCTCATGGTTTGAGGCAAGGTGACCCTTTATCTCCGGCGATCTTTATTCTTGCTGTGGACTATTTATCTAGAGGGATCAATGATTTGTTTAGTAAATTTCCTAATCTTTACTATAGAACTACGGGTGGCATCAAGATTTCTCACTTATGTTTTGCTGACGATTTCATTATTTTTATGAATGCTTCCAAAAACTGTATTTCTAAAGTTTTGGGTCCCTTTAATCATTTTGAAGCTGTCAGTGGTCTTGTTTTTAATAAATGTAAGAGTGGGTTTGTTATTTCTAAGAATGTTTCGCATAATAGGATTATGGGTATCAAGGAGGTTACCGGTTTCTCCCAAGCTAGTTTGCCGTTTAAATATTTAGGGATTCCTTTATTCAAAGGTAGAAAGAAGTCTTTTCTTTTTGATGATTTAATTTCTAAGGTTCATAACAGATTGGCTTCTTGGGATTCTAAATTTTTGAGTTATGGTGGTAGGCTTGTTCTTATTAAAAGTGTGCTTGCCTCTATCCCGGTTTATTCTTTTCAAGTGTTGTTTCCTACTAAGTCGGTCTGTTTGAGGATAGATAGGATTTTTAACAAATTCTTTTGGAGGGGTTCTACTAACAATTATAAAATCCATTGGTCGTCTTGGTCTAAGTGTTGTGGTACTTATCAAGAAGGTGATCTTGGTTGTAAGTCTATGCTTGATATGGCTACTGCTTTCTCTTTTAAATTATGGTACAATTTAAGGGATAATAGTTCTTTATGGGCTAATTTTATGACATCCAAGTACTGTGGGGATTCTCATCCCTCCATGTGTTTTTATTTTACTGGTAATTCTCAAGTTTGGCATCGTATGCTTAAGGTTAAGTGGATCATTGAGCCTAGGCTTGTTTGGGGCCTAGGGGAGGGCAACATTTTCTTTTGGCAAGATCGGTGGATTAATGGCTTCTCTATTGATGATCTCCTTACCTCTAATACTTTGAGTTCGGTTAAAGTGAATTTTTTCTTTTCTGACAATGGTTGGGATGTAGAAAAGCTTTCTGCTGTTATTCCGGATTACATTATTAATTTGATTGCCAATATTTCTATTAATCGTTGTGCTAAAGATGCTCTGCTTTGTAAATTTACTAAAGATGGTCTTTTCTCTACTAAACAAGCTTGGCATGTGTTTAGAAATATTAAGTCGTCTTCTAAGTCTTTTAAAATTATGTGGCATAAGGGCATCCCGACCACTGTTTATGTCTTCAATTGGAGAGTTCTTAAGAAATTTGTTCCTACGGATGATATGCTGAGGAAAAAAGGTTTATTAATTACTTCTAAATGTCAATGTTGTGCTAATTACTTAGAGACTGTTCATCATGTGTTTGTTTCTTCTCCTATTGCGGTTAAGGTTTGGAATTACTTTGAGGAGATTTTTAATGTTAATAGCGGTGGCCCCACATGTTCTGTGTTTAACTTGCTAGAGGTTTGGATGGTTAGTGTGAAGGGGCACGTCCGTAATGTTATTCCTCTTCTTATTATTTGGTTAGCTCGTAACGATTCCCGGTTTAATAATGTTGGGATGAACCATCTTACTATTATTGCGAAGATTAAGGATAAAATTTTGGCTCTTTTTTTGGCTAAGCTTTTATCTTATAAGAGTTTTGATAAGTTTTCTTCTTCTATTGAGATTTTTGGGATTGCTCCAGCTGTTTCTTTGTATGCCCCGGCTAATAGGCTTTTACACTGGTCCTCTCCCAATTCAAATTGTTTTAAGCTTAATGTTCATACTGTTTTGGCTGAGACCAACTGGTGTATTGGGGGCTTAATCAGGAACTCTAAAGGGATGTACATTGTTGGTTTTGCTGGGACGTCTGGGGCGGGTGATAACCTGGAAGGGTTTTTGATGGCTGTGCTTTACGGGCTTTCCCTCTGTGTTAGCCTGGATGTTAGAAATGTGGTTGTGGAGAGTAATTTAAACATTGATCAATCTATTTTTCTGGGCGTGGATGGTATTAGTTGCGGACATGCTTTATTTTATACCCGCAGAAAGGTTCTGTCCTTAACGAATTCTTTGGATTGTTCTTATAACATGGTTAAGCCTGAGATTAATGCTGCGGCCAGTGCCTTGGCCCTTTTCGGTACCAGTTTTTCTGACATTATTGATCTTACTTTTTCTAATTTGTCGGTGCATATTCAAGGCTTGATCAATTTGGATAATTGAGGAAAGTTCCCTATGTTTTGGGTTAATAATTCGGTCTATTCTTCTCCTCTGTTTGTTGGTTGCTGGGCTTTTTATTGTGTTACTTGTTTCGCTGTTCTCTGCTGGCTTCTTCATTGAGGATGTTTTGCTCTACTCCTGGAATTAGCTGCAGCATTTTTCTTTCATTTTGTCCCTGTTGGAGATTGTTTGTGCTGGCTGTTGCTGGATTGAGCGGAACCTAGGCCGGCTGTTTGTTCGTTCAGGGAGTTTCTTTTTACACAGCTGCATTATGTATTTTGTTCTCTGCTTTTTTGTCAGATGGCTTAATCTTTTTCTTGTACCTCTGCTTGCCTGGTGTGCAGGTTTTTGGAGCATCGCGCTCGTTTTGTGCAGGGTTCGTGTGCTGATTGTTAGATTAAGCTATCTTTGTTTTTCTTTTCACAAGGTTTTTTGGGACCTTAGTATGTTATTAGTGCTCATTGTATTTTGTTTAGCAGGGAATTCGGGCTCTTAGGTTTTCTTTCTATTTTTGATTGTAGCTCTTTGAGCGTTAGTGGGCTAGAAGTCCCTTTAAGGACTTGTGTAATTTTTTTCTTAATCAACGCGTAAGCCCGTAGGTGGGTTTTAACCAAAAAAAAAGAAAAAAAAAAAAAGAAACTTCTTATTTTAATATGAGCAGTGCCCATAAAATTTGAAGAAAATTATTATAATTAAAGCACAATAATATCAATATTATGACGAATATGATTTACAAATTAGATTTATAATGACTGTTAAAATATTATTTGACTATTATAGATCAAAATGTATCTTATAAAAATTTAAAGGACATTATAAGTTGTGTTTAACTTAAGTCTAATGGGTTAAAGTAGGATAAGGGTCCTAAGGGTTAGAGTAATAGGATCCAAGTAGGTACTATAATTATGTCATTTGGATTCTCTTAAGGTCCTAAGGGGTCTAAGGGATTCTAAGGAAATCCCATGAGTCCTAATAAGATGTCATAATTAGCCTAAGCAATAGTAGGCATATTAAGGTTAATCTAAACTATGGCTAGGCATTTTCTAAGCAAAAGAAGATGTCAACATTTAATAGTAATTTTCTTCATCTTCCAAACCTCCTAACACTCTTTACAACATATTTTCATATATGTTCTAAAGATTGATCATATGCAAAATGAGCTCTCTATTTTGGAAATTTAAGCTCTTGACCACCCTCACCCTTGTCCTCTCTCTAATCTATCTAAACATCCCCATCAATATTTTTATAGCCTCTATATGCTTAATTAGCCAACCACCCTAAACCTCCATAACACCTTTCAAACACACCACGAAATCCTAAGAAAAATATTTCCAATCTCTACACCTTCCCTAGCCTTTGCAATTAATAACCTAAAACATTGCACCTCTCGAACACTCTCTTTTTGACACCTTACTATTGCCCAACATCACCATCAACACTCCAAAATTCTTCTCATCATCCACTCATCCACACCACCACAACAACAATATGAGACACTGAAATTATCATCCCAAACACTTCAATAAGTTTATTAAATCTTCAATTTATATTCATTTATTAAACTCATATCTATCATTTATTTTTTAAATTGAAAATATTAAAAAAATGTATAAGTAGACATTTATATTGACTTTTATATAATTTTTACATAATATTGTTTTTATATGCAAACACTTGCAATAAAAAAAAATTGATTGAATTTTAATGAATAACTATATTAGTGTAAAAACAGTTAAAACATTTATTTATCTTAATTAAATGTTAATTTGTTGAAATATTATAATAAGTAAATTGAATATGATTTATTGATGATTCAATTATTTTTCATTATTCTAAGTGTGAAAAACAAAATTCTTAACTTCACATTAATTTCTAACTACATTTAATTATATAATAAAATGAGATAAACTCATTATTTAAAAAACAATTTAAATAAAATTAGATCTGAAGAGTGTAGCACTAAATATCCTTAAGCGCACATAGCTGCAAATGGAGGTCTCAATGAACTAAGATAATTCATACCACCTACGTCAGCCAAGCGTGGTACTGAGCTCATCATCATCACCCCCCACTTCTCTCGCGTTCTTGTACTCTACTTGTGGTGGCATCATCCTAACCCCCATTTTAAAAATATTAGTATAAAATGTGTTTGAAATATATTAGAATTTAATGTTTTTAGTATAAAGTCAATAAAAAATATTTAAAAATTATCTTTCAACTCTTTTTTGCAAGTGATTTCTTATTATTTTATCAAGTTATTTTAACAACTACTTGAATAAGAATGACATTCTCACTCGTAGAATAATACTAAATATTTCATTCTTATATTTCTTTCATATCTCCCATATCATCTTATAAATTTTAATATTTCATTTCTTACACTCATATTTGATCTATAAGTGGTTGGTAAAAAATATTAAAAAATTAAAGTATTAGATATAAAAATAATATGTATGTAAATCTCCTCACTTGAATTAAAACTCATCCTCTCTCTCTCACGGCAAATTATTATGCCCGGTGTCCGGATTTGTCCGGACACCAATCCAGACGCGCCACATCACCAAAATACATCTGACCACAATGCATTTGAATAACATGACGCATTTGAATGACATGACGCATTTGAATTGGATGTTCGGACGTTCGCCCTCTCTCTCTCACACGCATTTTTCCTTAGTAGGGAGGGAAAGGATCACTGTACATATCAACACGAGAATACCCACCGCAGAAACCCAAGAGAAAGTGATAGAGCGAGAGAGACGTAGAGTGTATTCCAAGACACAATCATTACGTGGTTTTGGAGAAAGCAGGTAGCGAGGCGTGGAAGTGGAAAGCAGAGACAGAAGCAGAAAGGCAAATCTGTGAGAGGTCACAGAACGTGGGCCTTGACCCGACTACTCCTCTCTCCTTTCAGTGCTTCTCTCTCCTCTCGCCTGCTCCGCAAGCCTAGACCTTGCTACTACAATTGTAATTATATTTACAGGTTCAACCCTTATAAGAAACATCAGAGAGATGGCATAAGAGGAAAGTAAAGCGCAACCGCGCAGGCCTTTGCCGCGTCGAAGAGCCACAGTGAGGCCGACCGCCGCCGCCGGAGAGTTTCAACGCTTACCTTGCAATGCTTCGTAGCCTGCTCACGAGCGCCACTAGAGTAAGCTGTTAATCATATGTCAAAGCCTAGCTGCCAATCAAAAATTATCTTAGATTATAAAGCTTCTAATTCATTTCATTTCTCTCAGTTTGCATTAATGGTGTCTGAAATCTCTATTTTTGATCAATTAGAGAATAAAATATAATGGAGAGAGAGAGAGAGAGAGAGAGGGCTACAAGGCAGAAGCCAGGAGCCGCCTTGTTGATATGATAAAGAGGGGCAGAAAAACAAAAAGCTTACAATGAAGTTGGGTCTGCGGCAAAGTAGCTACACTGAGCAGAAAGACAAAACCAGCGAATTGTTTTGCCAGATGTTCGCTGGTTAATTTAGTTGACAAACTTTAAAAAAATTCTGCATGATTGAATTTTTCACTCATGAAATTTAAGTCTGGCAGTCGAACATAGAAGAAAAAAAAATTTAGAGACTAGCTATTTTCTTTCATTAAAAAAGACGACTGTAACTAAGAAATTGCTATAGAAGTCATTATGGTATTTTTGCATTAACATTTACATTAAAAAAAAAAAAAACTTGTAAATCACAGCTAGCGGTGTAAGTGATCGGATCGAGCTTATTAAATTTTGAGCTCGAGCTCAAGTAGCATTTTAAGCTCGTTGGATTAAAGCTCAAGTTGGAGCTCGGGTGATGACCGACCCCTGATTACTAGTCGAGGGGCTCGTCAGCACGTGCGAAGGCTGAAGGGCGGGCGAATGTTGACCGTAGTGGTGCTAGCGAAGGCCGATCGCAGAAGCATGGGAGAAGGCGAAAGAGCTAGATTATTTTCAGTGTCACGAGCTGAGCTCAAGCTCGTCTTTTGAGCTCGGCTCGATTTCGAGGTTGGGATTTGACTCGCGAGTCGAGCTCGACTAGACTTATTGACACCCCTGATCTTAGCTCAATATAAACTACCATGAAAATTTTGTTCTATTTTTTTTATTTTATTTCTAATGATATAAATCATCACAAATATATTAGTAATTAAAAATTAGGCATAAAGTCAAATATAAATAAAGAGGATAGAAGATTAGTTAGTAGCTGCATTCCACGTTTGCTGATAGTGATTATTTTATTAATGGTTGTCAGCTGGACTCCAATATGTGATCTGTAGCATGAAGATTAGAGAATTTAACATGGCTTTCAAAATCGGACCGGACCGGCCGGTTCAACCGGTTGGACCTGGAACCAGCCGGCCGGCCGGTTACTTATTTGTATAAAACCGTTTTTGCATACAACCGGCTTGGAACCGCCTGAACCGGCGGTCCGACCGTAAAACCGTCGAACCGGCTCCGGTTTTATTTAACCGGGCGGTTCGCTAAGATGAGAAAGGGACGGCTTAGATGCAATCTGAGCGGACAAACGAACGCGGAACGTCTTTGATATACAAAGTCACGCGAAAAAAAAC